AGACATCCTGGAAAGTATTTGTTGTAGATTCAAACACAATGCTGTTCAAATACACCAATAGAATGTCACAATAACTTAAGGCACAAACTTTAAAAACCTTTAATATTTTCAGTAAACTTTGTTTTGTAGGACTTTATAAGTGAAGTTTGTTTTAAACGATATTAAATAAAGACCAGAAAGTTAACGATTTGCAAAGCAAAGCCATGAACTGGAATAAAATTGTTCCGCTTAAGTTTAATTTCATATCCATAAACCCATGCTCACAAATTTTCCTCTGATGTATCTTAATTTTTATTGACATACAAAAAAAGAAAAAAAATTACCAGAAGCTATAGAACTTACTTCCAAGACTTGGAGCTACCAATTGACCAGAATTAGCTTAACATGAAAAAATTAAATACCCCCTAGTATCTGCGAGCCTTGAGTTCAAATCTGTCTCAAGTTCTCAGGATCTGAATGGAAATATAAAGAAATAACTGTTCAAAGCAGGAAATAATTGCTTTCTGGATTTAATTTTTTTAATCTCTCAATTTTGTGTTACACACAGAACATATAGCCATATGTATATGACAGTTATTTTTGTTTAAAACCAATTTCTGCATATACTTTTTAAAAACACAGTGAAATTCAAGCTTAGCAAGAAAATGTTAATGTTTATGCATTATTTAGTCCCAGTATTGCCAAGGAGTCTGCCCACACAGAGTCCCAACAGATCCTGAAAAGATAGAAAGGCTGCCAAAAGCTGAAAGTGTTGCTTAGTCTCCATCTTGCATTCAGTGTAATTTAAATTCAGATGTTAATCTCTGCCTACTTTATTGAAATCTTCCAAACTGAGAAAAGGACATCACATTTTAGTGATGTTTCAGACTCCCAAAATCTTCTTTCTTTATGTATGTTAACTAATTTCCATTAACTTCTACTTTGTAGCATTATTTAAATTTGACCTTTAAAGATAAGTCATTGCCTTTGTTTTATTTATGGACATATAGAATACTAGCTTATGTGCCAGAGGTCTGCAGAGGCTTCAGAACTCAGACTTAAGCATGATTAAGATGATAAAATCTGTGTGTCCACATAAAATAAATATGAAAGATGGATGCATGTTCTGCTTAGTGAACTTGACAGTAGTGGGAAGATGCTGGTTTAAATTCACTGAATATCCTGATAATTTAAATTCTTTATCAAAGACTTAAAACCTCTTTACTGTGCAAAACTGTAACATGGGTAAAGATACGTAGGAATATTAGAACTTTACGTCCCCTAAATGATATATATTTGTTTCTGCTTAGTGAACTCTAGAAAACATGGAAGATCTTAATAAAAACATTCTTTTATAAATCATCCTAAACTGTGATGTAGAAGACTTAAGCTTTTATACATGTTTAAAGAAGTTGTTAGAAAGGGTTAAAAATGCAGTTGTGCTTGAGGTTTTATTTCCCACTTTCACTTTAGATGGGAAGGTTTCCTTTTTGTATCTAGGACTGTTAAAAAATATCCCTCACAGCTTCAGGAACAAGGTATTGCCCTCATTCAATCACAACTTTACTGAGGATAAATCTCATATTTCAGAGGACCACAGAAGGACTTAGAAGTCCCATGCAGGTCCCATGGAAGTGTTTTTGTTTAGTTTGTTTAAATGTACCCCTAATTAATTCTTCACTACTTAGGGTGTCTTCATTTCTCCATGCTTTCCCACAGGTCTTGTGAGCCTGCAGTTCCTGAAGGCTATACAGTAAGGACCAAGACAAAGAAGGCATTGAGTACCTCCGCCTTCTCGGTGCCCTTTGTCACCGGGTCCTCTGCCCCATTTAGCATTTCCCCAGTCTGTTTTTGCTGATATACCTGTAGAAGTCCTTCCTGTTGCCTTTTACTTCCCTCACTGGATTCAACTCCAGATGGGTTTTGGTTATCCTAACCCTTTCTAGTCCTACATAATTTCTGACCAAAAACAAAAATTAAAAAAAAAAAAATTGAAGATTTTCCTTTTTGGCTGGTGTCTTAGAGTTATTGAAGACTGAAATGCCGTTAGTTCTAGCTGAAATGAGAGTGACTGTTTCTGAGGATCAGCTTCCTTCCATTTATGAAGGCAGTTTTTAGCAGCTTCAGTTTCCTTCTGTGAGGAAAGCAGAAGTGCTTTGTGACTCCCTGGGGTTCCTATATCAGATATGGGAGAAAGCATATTGTAAATTGGGCAAAACTGACAAGGAGAAATATTTTTTTCAGATGATTCTAACAAGATAAAAAGGAGAAAATGTAAAATCAAGTCCCCACCCTTCCTAAATCTCTGTAATATAGTTGTGACGGATCATCATCTTTAGTGAGTATAGATGTGTAAAATGCTAATGACATGTTACCCTAAGATGCTCTGCGAAACATATCCTGGAAGCAGTGATTTGAGAAATAATAGAGGCACTTGACAACTCTTAATGAAAGCAGTAGCTTGAAAATCGCACATTTCCAGGCCTTTAGGTGCACTGTCACAAGCCTCCCAAAACCCAAGAGATATTCATTAAAGTGTTCTTCTTACGTTCATGTTTTGTGAATGGAAATGAGCTCCATGGCCTGTCTTGTAGAAACATTAGCCAAGAGGCACATGTTGAAAGAAACAACAGCAAGTTCAAGCAGTGGTGGGTGTGGAAGTAGTAGGGCTTGTTAGAAGCAACAGGGAAACTGGGCTCCACGGCCTGTTTTGCAAGAATGTGTAAATATTAAAGAATGATTAAAACAGTGTAATGGAACAGGAAGCCAGAAGGGTTTCCTCATGGAATTGGTTTCCTAGCAAATGCGAAACTTGAATTTTATTTGAGGCTTGAAAACCTTTTGATGAACCCAGATCTTTGAGCACAGCTGGAGTGATTTATGGCTTTGTGATTTCAATCTGTAACAGGCAGAACTTTGCTGGTTGTGCTGCAGTTTCCAATTTTTGGAGGTTTCAGATGTGAGTCATCAGCTTTTTCAGCCCTTCACTTAAACCTTTTAGCAGATAAAATTTTTCTCACGGCTGCTTACTCAGACATTTCAGATAAAGCAAAATTAAGCAAAACAAAGCATCCCCACAACCTGCCAGAGTTTGAATAAATAAAAGCCAATTCTGGTTTCAGTTCAATTTTACTTGCATACTTTATATAATGCTGTAGTTTTCAAGTCACATGTAATAGAAAACAAAATTGCCAAAATACGAATTTCTCATAGGTAGGGGTAACCAGAGCGTTCCTTAAATCATAAGGGCTTTCCTTTATCAGAGCTTTGCTGGTTTAAAATAGTATGCCTGTGCAAAATCTAATATAATCCATATTTTGCGTATTGCAGCTAACTTGAGTCATGCCAAAGCACAGAAAGCATGTGAAACACTGTTTGCATCTCAACTGGAAGGTTGGAATTTGGATTAGTGTGACACTAGTTAAAACTGGAGTTAGCAGCTGCTTCTGTGATCATTTGGTAGCACAAAGACCAAAACACGTTTATGCTATTAATCAGTCTTATTTGCCTCCCAATTAATTTGCAACTATTTACAACATCTCATAGAGAAGGTCAATGGAACATCTTAAGTTCACTGCCATTGTGGATACAGATTACCAAGTGTTACTTAACTGGGTTACTTAACTGGGCTGGTAACTTAAAGACAGATGAAATGAGTTAGCCAGCAAAGGTGCATCCTCTCTGACTACCAACATACTACTAAATGAAGTGTGCCTAGAACCATGCTCTATTCTTGAGGCCAGCTGTCATGGGGAAGCTTGTGTCCATGCTAATAAACTCTCCCAGTCTGTATGCAGGGTGGAGGTATGGAACTGCCATCTGGAAACAGATCATGGAGGGTTTTCACTCAAGAGGGTGCCTGGGGATTGTTTGGAAGAGTGTGTGCTGAGCTAGACCAAAACCTTCCCAGGGCCCTTCTAACAGTTAGCAACACACATAATACCAGTGCCTGGGAACATTCCCTGCAAGCATTTGATATATGTGTTAATACAGCCTCAGTGTCTATCAGGATGTTGGCAATGTCTTGGATTTTTGTTAACTCAATTGAAAATGTACTGTAAGAAATGCAACATACTTTTGCTGTATGAGCACAAAATATTGCAAAACCTCCTGTTTCATTGTCAACTTGTTACGTGTGTTGAGCACTAATGTCTATTGATGGCCAAATCTTTCCTGACACTTTGTCAGGAGCCTACTCTGCAATACGAATCTGATGGCCCAATGCAGACAAGACAAAGTTCTGTTTTGACCAGATGCCAGCAGAGCTGGCCGAAAAAAAATATATCCTAGGGAATAAGTACACATCATTCTTCAATCAGAAACTGCTAGTTGCAGGACCAAGCATATTTTACAGGAAACAGAAGCAAATTCTGTGTGTGTTTCAATTTGTACTGCACAGTAAAAATTCATATTAATACAAAGTTTTTGTGGTAGGATAGATTTGATCTTGAAAATGGAGCTACAATTCATGCTTAATGCCAACTGAATTCTTACATAGTGATGGTTTGTCCCATTGAGTCAATAAATGAAAATGTTGTTGTCCCATTGATTCAATAAATGAAAATGTTGTGTTCTTGAAAAATGTCTGATTTGTGCATGCAGGGCCACACAGAGCTTCATCTGTTCACAATATCCACTTTCTGCTAGAGTCTTGTCCTCTAACTCTCTGACGGGTGGTATGATAGATGCAGTGAATATCAGAACCTGTTTTCCCACTTTATAATTAAAGCAGACATACTTTTGAAGAAAGGTAATGTGGGAGCTACCTCAGAGTGGTGATTAAAAATGTACTTTATCGCAAGTTTGAATTTCAAATGAAGAACATACTTTGGCGCCTTTGGTGAAGTAAGTCCTTAATCCCCTTGAAAGCTAATGATATTACATGATATGATTTATCTATTTATCTTGCATTTGTTCTAGGGCACAGTTCTTAAAAGTGTCACTTTCAGATATGAGTGTTGAAACTTTATCAGTGCCTAAAGAAATCACCATGTTTTACTCTTGTCTTTTTGGTTTTCCAGCTGTGGGACCTACTGCAGAAGTTGCAGTTCATCATGACATACATTGCACCGTGGCAGATTGCCTGGGGGTCGTCGTTCCATGTTTTTGCTCAGCTCTTTGCAATACCTCATATCCTTTATAAATTTGTTTTTCTTTATTCTTAAATTCCTCTTCATGTTTGGAATTGATTTATAGTGTTTGAACAAGGTGTGAAATTCCTAGATAATTTACTCTCAAATGTGAAAAAGCTTGGAGCATCTCCTGAGAAATAGTTTTCTCTCTGTCTTGGCAGCATGGGATCTGAAACTGGGAAACTGAACTCGGACTCAAACTGGTCTGTTTATGCCTGCTCACTTCCCACCCAACCACAGCCCTCAGCACTGACTTTTGATGCATCCAGAAAGAAATGCTGTGATTGATAAATTAGCTCCAACTTGGGTGGACTTCTATGTATGCAGAAGCTAGTTCTGTAAAGTGTGGGACATATGGCTGACAGAGCTCTAAAAAGTTACTTTCTCAGTTGCTTCTACTTGGCATCTCGGGTACAAATTCATTTCAGTGAGCCAATTTCTGTTGCAACTGTCCTAGTTTTTTATTCTGTTTCAGAAGCAACTGGATTTTAAGATTTCAATGTACATTTTTCATTGTGGTGCTGAGAAACATTCTTCTTTTTAACGCTGCCTTTCTGTTTTATCAGTAACAATGTATGTCCATCAACACTAAGGCAGTCCTTCAGAAACAGGAAACCTGGCTTGTGATGTAGAGTAAGGAAGTAGGGCTGTTAGGTTTTGGTAATTTGATATTTTTTATTTAGACATAATTAAAGTATTGGTGTAAAAAGGCTTTTTTTTTATTGCCTAATAAAGGCAAATTGGATGCTATCAAATAAACCCCCCCGATGACAGATAATTGCCCACTGTACTTATCAACTGTATATAAGGGAGACAGGTGCTGTTAGTCGCTTTCATGACACATTTACATATATGAAACAGTTAAAATCACTCTTCACAAGTCAGATGGATAATGTCTTCCAGTGTGCATTTAGTAGAGCATTATGTCTTTCAGCAAAAATAAAACTGTTGCTACTGATTATGTCTTAGACATGAACATTTCACAGCGGAGTCATAAATGACTTATCATGGTGGCAGTTTTTAAATCAAACATGACATTAGAGCTCACTTTAGAAAACATGATTTGCTGTCCCTATCTGTCCTCCTTGTTCTCTTTTTGTCTCTTCAGTTCCCATGCTTCCTTTCCTTATCTGACACTTGTAAATGCTTGTTACTCTTTCACAGCCAATGCTGGTTATGACTACAGTGTAATGTGACAGTTTAACTTTTTTGATGCTCTGTGCTCTCTGTTGCTTTTTGAACTTCAGACTCAGAGGCCAGCTCATTTTCCAGTCTCGCTAATGCACAAAGACACCCTTCCAGGCCACTTTCTTTTACAAAAGTTTGAGGGATTTGGGAGGTATTTTAGCAGATATTCACAGGTTGCTTTGAAAGCATGGCTAGTGAGCCTTTTAATGGAAATATGGTACCACTATGTGCTGCATGTGTTTAAAATGGTTTTTGTAAAGTCTCGAGAGACTTTATGTGGGACACATAAAGGGATATTTCTTATGAGGGTAGGCTAAAAGACTATTGTTACTAGGTGATTTTACCTTAATTTTAGTTGGAGTTGCGCTTGATTGCTGTAGTTCAATAGTGGCTCCTTCACTTCAATTACTTCAGTTGATAGCTTCTTTACTTAGCACCTTCCTCCCAAGAGAGGTGTAAGGAAGGACAACTGGTCTCTTATGCCATTTTGGAAACCTTTTTCCTGAGCTTTCATAGGCATGGTTTGAATTAATGAAGAATTAAGGCTTAGCATTTAATTTACTCGGGTTGTTTTAATCATGTTCCTTTAATTTGCATCTTTTTCAATACCCTTATCCAGCTCCTAACTTGCTTTCCAGCCATTTGAAATATGACTTTAAATATAAAGTAAGCTATGGATTCAGGCATTCATTATGATATTTATGTGTGATATTTACCATTTCCCTCTCCTCACCTTCTCATTTCATATATATTTCAAAGTGTATGAGATGCTGAATAATTTTTACTTTTCAGTCAGCATGGAATATTAATTTGTCAGTAAGAATTAACATGAAAGCATGCTTTTAAGCCAGCAGGCTGGATTATAGAGGCATAGTTGTTTCTCCACATACTAGGTTATTCCAAAGTAAGCAGGAACTCACAGAATAGAATACCAGGCACACTAGGAGCCAGACTCCAGTGCAGAGAACAAAGAATTTCCAAGAAAGTGCTATCTGGGGGGGACTTTACTTTCAGCTCGGTGTCAGGCCCTGGAAAGGCGCTTTGTGTTACAGAAGGTACACTAGGTAGCTGGAAATGGGCACTTACTGCTCTGCCCACGCTCAGGATCTGTCCTCAGGCAAAGATTAGACAGGGTCAGCCAGTTAATAACATAATCTGTTCAGACATGTCACCTCCTTTATAGCTGTGTAGCATTGAAAGCCACCGATTGCATGTTGATAATTGGCAATTTGGCACTGCCTGCCTTTCTCTTCCTTACCTTACCACCTCCTTGGTATTATAAATAAGAACAAAAGCACAAAAATAAGCAGTTCAAAGAGCTGCCTCACTAGTGGTTTGAAAGTATAACTAAATCATTTCTGTTACCTTAACTTGCAGTTTTCAGACTCTGCTATGCTTTTTTTTCAAACCCTGGCCACCTCAGTCTTTTCTACACCACTGAGTCCATTTCTTGGCAGTGTCATCTTTATCGCATCATACGCAAGACCGGTCAAGTTCTGGGAGAAAAACTACAAGTAAGACTGTTCAAAAAATTTGTATACTTGTTATTTGTAAAGGTTTTGCCCTCATTAGTTTCATCTCTCGAGGTATTTTTCTTTCCAGAGATAATCCTTAAATTGTTGTAGCGTATGAGAGGTTAATCTTTGAACCTTGATTCTGGTGTTTTACTGTTTCATGATTATTTGGTTATTCTGCAAATGTATTTAAGAAATTATCCTTATGCTACAGATGAGGTGTCATGTTGCGTTTGTTGTACAGACGTACAGTAATGAAGCTGTGAAAAAAACTCCCACTTGTCAGCCTTTTTGGTCTTGCCTAGCTAGTGTTAGCAACTAAATCTGTGAAGCCTTTGGCACTAGAAGTCAGGCTGCATTAATACATTCTATACTATCCTGATTAAGTGTTACCATTTAGGATGTGGCAAGTAACTCTCACAGTGAAGTGATGATGAGTGTGCATTGTTATTCTTGCTTCATCTGATCTAGGATTTTGACTTAAGAATTGGTTGGTTTTGTCAGATTGTAGCTGTCATTCAGTTTGACAAGGACACAAACATAAAATATTGAATACATTGAGTAAAGAGCTTTTGCTCCTTCTGCCCAGAAGGATTTGAAAGTTTTGGTAACTGGGATCTAATGGGCTTCCAATAAGAGTACTGGAGACCTGTAAACACTTCCTTTTCCAGATGGAGGTAGTTTTTTGCAAGGAATGAAGGAACAGTCTGCAAGGCTAGGGACTGGATTCAAGGATTAAGGGAAGGAGGTGGGAGGTGGTCCTTTGAGTCCTGTGCTCTGGGTGGTGTATGAGCTCTTCGCCCCCTACTAACACGTAACCAGACTTGGAGTAACTTACTGCAGCTGCATCAAGTGAAAATTGTATTGACCAAATTAGGACTTGGCCAGACCAGTGAGAAGTACCACACTTACCCCACTTCTTGTATTGGTGCCACTAATGTATCTGAGCACAACAAGAGAATTCAAAACTAGAAATTACAGTGATTGTTTTTTCCCTTACTTAAGGCAAAGGAGTTTGTTTGATTTCGACTTGCATCTGTGAGTGTGTATGTACTCATCTATAAAGGAATTACTCAGACAAAGCCAAATCATATAAAGAGGCTTTTGAGGGGAGCTGAGTTTTGTATACTGGGGCCAGATCTTAACAAAATTCTCTTACACATCTTTTTTGGGGGTGTCAACAGGTTCATTATTTAGTAGGAGTGAAGCTGAGGGGAGTCATGAAAAGGCAGGAAGCTGCCACTAATCCCAGAGACTAATTTACATTTTTGGGTGGAAAGTTTGAACATTATTAAGTAGGAAGTGGAGATTTTAACATCTGATACATTTTACTTCAACCAGAGCATTCTGAAGGCGTTTCTAGATACCAGTTAGAGGATCAAACTTGGTTGTAGGCACATCACTTCCATATAGCTAGGTTAGCGTAGAATCTGTATGTTATTGTAGGTAGAAATAGGACAAACTGGTTTAATTTAATTTTGGTTTGTCTAAGGCTTTTGGGATGAGATGAACAGAAGATATTCAAAGGAAATTTCAAAAGATGGTTGATGCTTGATACTTAGATAAGGGAGTGGTCTTGTTTTCATTGTTCCTGACCATCTGTGACTCCCACTAAGGGAAGTGAAGAAGTTGGTGCTAATAATTTCTGAAAGCCAAGCTAGCTAATTATTACCCATAAACTGTAAAATTTCAAGGGCAAAAAACCCTAGCCCTTTTGGTACATTAATCTGCCACTGTTTGTCCTTCCAAAAGAAGAAGTAACTACAACTTTGCCTTCAACATGAATGCTTAAATTAGACTCTGTGGAAAAAAAAACATGCTTTCTTTGTAAGAAATTTTAATGTATCTTTTGTGATCTTCTTACTTAAAACCACAAGCTTGCCCCTCATAAACCCTTCAGAAGCAGAAAACAGCCCCTTAGAAGATTCAGATAGTCATCAAAGTGAAATAAATGTTTGGCTGAACCTGTGGCATCCCATAATAGGCACATGTAATGATTCCTCCTGAATTTATATTCATTTTGTCTCTAGCACTTGTGATTCTCTTTTGCCTCATTTCCATTTCAGTATTTCGTTGCTCACATGAAGAATTGACCAGAGTGAGCATTGAACTGAAAAATTCCTGGTTCACTGAAAGGACACAGTGAAAGACAGAAAAAGTCAAGGGACAGGAGTAATTTTGTATTACGAATAGGCAAATTTTATATGAAATACTTAAATAATTGAATTGAGATAGGTCTTGCTTTACGGCTTTAGATCTTGACCCCTCAACATCTGAAAATTCAAAGGGATGGCATAATTGCTTTCTTTCAGAGCTGTGGAGTTAAATAGGATCAGGAACTTGAGCTAGAGTGGAAAGTTGTTCTGGCTGCTGCACTGACCTGTTTTTGGGCTATGGTGCCCTCCAGCCTGATGTGCACTGAGTTCTCAGGTGCTGTAGGACAAAACAGAACACACAGCTGGAGAAGTTGGTGTGTAGATTTCCTTTTTGGCGTGCACATGTTCAGCTAAGGGTATTACCACAGAATCACACAGTGGTTTAGAGTTGGAAGAGACCTTAAAGCTCATACAGTTCCACCCCCCTGCCATGCGCAGGGACACCTTCCACTAGACCAGGTTGCTCAAAGCCTCATCCAACTTGGCCTCAAGCACTGCCAGGGATGGGGCATCTACAGATTCTCTGGGCAGCCTGTTCCAGTGTCTCAGCACCGTCATAATGAAGATTTTTTTCCTGATACTGAATCTAAATCTCCCCTCTGTCAGTTTCAAGCCATTCCCCCTTGTCTTGTCACTACGTATCATTGTAAAATGGAAAGTCTCAGGTTAGCTACAGTGCGATCTGAAACACACTCATTTGAAGCAGAAGCTCTGGCAGATTTTTTTATTATTTATATTTATTATTCAGTAACTTTCTATAGCTTTCTTGTTTTGCCTGCTTTGCATACTCACTTTCAAATGCTTCCTTGCTGTATTGATGGCTACATTAAATTATCTCATTTATATTACCTACATAAAAACTCATTTGCGTTTATATGAAGTAGAGGTAGTCAATTCCATGGTTATATCTTTTATAATTTAAACTCTTAATTGGACTAACTGAAAACAGTTTTGATAAGCAGTCTAGATAGCAAAACATCACGGTTTTGTTTTTCTTCCAACTCATAAATTAGGTTACTTTTTTAGAGTGTCATTTCTGTTCATCGCTATGCTCACACTTAACTGCTGTCAAGTAAACTTCATTTTTTCTTTGTTTCAGTTAAGGAAAACTTACTTTTGTATCTCATTTGGGCCAACAGTGTGAAATGAGATGAGGAAAAAACAACTGGTTCATTTTCTGTAAAGTGAATCCAAAGTTGAAGCCTTGGACATTAGCAGTAGAAAATGCCATGTTTATTAATAAAGCTGGGCTATTAAGCCAGTAGCCCAAGTGGTGAGCAACTGTTCCATCTGTTCCTTAAAGTGTTGGTTTGATTTTCTCTACCTGGTGTTTTCTGAGTGCACACAGACATATCTTGCATTTTCAGTGTTTCATTTAGTCCCATTTTTCTCTTCTGGCAGAAGAGGAGTTTGATTCCTAAGGTTTCTGACTGGGCATCTGCCACTCTAGATGTTGTGAGCTGGAGCTGAAAGTCTTAGAGAATTAAGATGATGGCTTGTTTGTTTTTAAAAGGAGATGGAGGAACTCAAGTGGGTTGAAAAAAAAATATCATTTTGACAGTAAGCAAACTGTGAAATTCCTAGTAAGCTCTTCAAAATTCAGGAATCACACTGTGCCTGTTTGTGCTCTTGCAGTGTGTGTGCAGAGCATGGGTGTTCTTCCCTGCATCAGCAGATGCTGTTTGTTTATAGTGTGCTCTTTGGTACTCACTGCATGCAGAGCCTACATGTAACTGAGGTCAGAGATCTTTTTTTGGGGAAAGAGAAGGTTGGCTTTAAGAAAAAATAAGGCAATAACAAAGGTGAGTAAGAAAGAGCTTCTCATGCAACCACTTATTTACAGCTTCTGCTGACATTGTTGAAAAGAAAAGGGTGTGAAATCAGAAAGCTGGCCTGCTGCTCATGAGCTGGTTACCTCATGGGAGTCAAGATATGAGACATTTTCTGTCTTTCTGTCTATCAAATAATTAAAGATAAAAAATTGATGCAACACCAGCTTTGTGCTGGCCTTAGCCTGGGTCCTGCTTCCCAGTTTGAAGAGTCCTGGTTTAGTCTTTATTTTCACAGCTGTTGGAGTGATTAGGCTGTAAATGTCAGAAAGAGAAAAGGAAATAGCAGTAAATCTTGTTTAATGTATAGGCACTTTAAAGCATAAAATGTTTGTTCAAACACTGTTGTGCTATTCCTCTGCTTTGCTTCTTTTCTTAAATACTTTGTCACGCTGCAGCCTGACAGTGTCCCACTCCTCCCTTTGTATTATCTTGCTTTGTATCTTGGACATGGCAATGGACAGAACAGAGTAGGAAGTTTACTTTCATTCCCCAGTGGATCTAACCGCTGGATCACATTGAGTAGCCTGTTCTCTGCTGCAGCTGTGACTTGTCCCTGCCAACAGCAAACTGCCATCAGGAAGCTGGAGATTTCACTGCCTACAAGGCACTCATCTCTCCTGCTCTTTCCTGTTTCTGTTCTTCTGGTACAGCACCTATTTTGGGGTAAGGCACAGCTTGCATTTGCTTTGAAGGGTCTTGAGTGACTTACAATGTTGTGTAACTAAATTAGTTAGGTGTCTCTAAAGAGGCTGTGATTAAATTGCCAGGTATCTCAGAAGAAAATTACAGGACACCTCTCTGTTTGGGAATATGTGAGCAAATCTTTCTTTTCCCAATCATTTTAAATATCACTGTGTTACTGTTCCAGTCATTGTGGTCTGGAAAATAGCCACCTACAAGGTTAATACAGCTGGGAATGGAGGGTGAGCAAAGCCTCCCCTGCCTCAAATCTAGTGAAGCTGGTATTTTCTTTTATCCTACAAGCTCACTTAACCTGCCCATCATGGACAGC